ACTGTTTAACATTTTTAAAAAAGACACAAAATTAAATCTGAAAATTAAATAAAAATTGAGAAACTGAAATAAGATTTAAAGACAATTTTCAAAGAAATATCAAAAATCGATTTCCATATTGACCTAGAAAAAAAGTTGATCAACTCAAATCTTTTTACAGAATTTAATTATGATGATTTTAAGTATGCGTAATCTTGTCAGGCTTTTAAGTCTACAACGTGAAATAAATACACTGCTTCTAACCGAAATTTTTTTTGAAGAGGCAGGCTATACGGGTTCCGCGCCAACAATATCCGTTTCAATCGTTAATCGTTTTCTGTTATGTTTTTCTATATTAATATTAATCATTTTTCGTTTCTGTTTCGTTATCTGTTATCGATTTCAATCGCTTTTTGAATAGTTTAACGTTATACCTACTTATAATATTATAAAAAACATTTTGGTGGCCTGGTATGGGCCTAAGTATCGTTATAAAATGATCCACATAAAAAGGTTAGACACATTGAAAGGTTTATCTCACATATGATCAATTCCTTAACCCTTTGACGAGCGTTGATGTATATATACGTTTTTGAAGTATACTGTCAAAAAGAGCGAAGACGTATATATACGTTTTTCCCGCGAATTCCTTTAAATGTCTTTATGTTACATTACTGTAAAATACCTTATATAAAATATGTGCTGCCATCTGTGAAGTTCTATTTCAACCAATAGATTTATTTTCATTTATCAATACGGATTAATTAATATCATTAATGATGGACCGAATAATCGGTAGTTATTCGGTATCTGGCCTATTTGGTCAAGAATACAATTTATTATTCGGTACTTGATATTCGGCCAATATTCGGTATTTTCTAATCGGCTAATTTTAATTTTTAAATTAAATAATATAATCATTAATCACTAATACCTTGTATATGATCTAAGTATTAATCAGTATTCAGTATATGAAGAAAACTTTATCTGCCAAAGTAGCAACACTGTAAATTGTAATATATGAATAATTGATTTGACTGAAACCATGGTTATAGAGACTAGAGATAGACACGGATGAGTTTAAAAATTAAAAGATAAACCATTTATTGTTATTGTGCATTTTGAGTGATTGACCTGTGATTATTATTTATTTCTTTAGTTAATTCTATTTTATAAATTATAATCTAATACGATTAGCGATAACTAATTAATGACTACGCATAAATGCTAATTACCTTAACATGAGTTCAACAAGCAAATGTGGTGTTTGGGAATATTACACACTATGGGACAGTAATCAAAATTATGCTATTTGTAGTATTTGTGAAAAAAACTATCTAGAAGAGGAATAGGAAAATATGCTTCTACATCGCCATTATTAAATCATTTAAAATTGATACATGAGGTGGAATATAAAGACCTATTAATTAGTAATGAAACTTCAAAAAACACTCAAAATAAAACTGATAACAGTTTAAAAACTTCACAACCAAATTTCCAACTTACTTTACCTAATTTTAACGATAAACAAACAGAATGGGATATAAACAATCAAAACGTGAAAGAAATACATTATGCTATAGGAAAAATGATATCATTAGATATTCAACCATTTAGCGTTGTTGAAGACCATGGATTTAAGCAACTTTTAAAAAACTGCAGCCAAAGTACAAAATTCCTGGTAGAAAATATTTTACTAATACAGTTATACTTAATATGTGTACTAAAGTTTATGAACAACTATTGAAAGACATTGAATTAACATCTTATATTTCCATTACCACTGATATTTGGACAGCTAACAATAATAATGAAAGTTTTATAAGTTTGAGTGCCCATTGGCTAACATGTAATTTTAAAAAATGTAATGCTGCTTTCAGTTGTCAACACTTCCCAGAAAGGTATACTAGTCAAAATATTTGTAGTATGCTACAAAACTTAATATCAAAATGAAATATTAATAATAAAATTCATATAATTCTTAGAGGCAATGCAGCAAATATAAAAAAGCTTGTAATGACGCTAATTTCTCAAGTGAATCTTGTTTCATTCACACATTGCAACTAGTCATATCTGATTTGCATTCTTCACAAATTGGTTTAAAAAATTTCCATAGATAAAGTAAGAAAAATTGTTGGTCATTTCAAAGCAAGGATTCTGCTGACAACACAAAACAAATTATCTGTGAGAAAATAATTGAAGAAATTGAAAAGAAGAAAACAGAAATGATTACTTCAGAAGATGAAAGAACCAACATTGACTCAGAACATTCTTTTAAAGATTCAAATATAAACCCAGAAAATAATGAAGTTAATTTACCAACTAGAAAAAGGTCAATTTGGGACTGTTTAGATGCAATTACTCAAATTCCTCAAACTGAAGAAAATGGTCAATCTGATAGTGTTAGATATGAAGTGAAAACTATGGTCAACAATGAAGTCACCAATTATCTAAATTCTGGATGTATAAAAAGAACTGACGACCCATTAAAATGGTGGGGAAAAAATGCACGTGACTATCCAAATTTGGCTGAAATGGTAATGAAATATTTTTCTGCTCCTGCTATAAGTATATATAGTGAATGGTAAGCTAAATTACTATTTAAGTATTTAACACATTTAAAATATTAAAATTAATATACTTACTATAATATATAAATTAGTATATTAACTTCTTACATATTTTGTATTTAGTATTTACTATTTAGTGTTTATTATTAACTATGATATTTATTCAGTTTCCTATTTCAAAAAAATAGTATTTCAAGTTTCAACAGTAGGTACTAGTTATGTTTTAAATGAGTACCTATGAACTATGAAAGTATGAACAACACAAATAAAATATAATAGTTATTTTTCATTATTTTACCACACAAAAATTTAAATTTTTTTTTAGTTTAATTAGGTATAACTCTTATGGAATTACCTATAATTTAAGATATTGAATTTGATGTGCTACAGATTATTTTCTGAAGCTGGTACCATCTATGAAAACAAAAGATACAGATTATTACCCAGAAATGCGGAAAAATTGCTTTTTTTACATAATAATCTTTTGAATACCTCAAATGTACTTTTGATATAATATGTATTGCATAATTCAGTTTTAGGTTTATTATTTATTTTATACCTATGAAAGTTTAAAAGTTCATAAAAAGTTAATTAGATTATGAAAAGTTATCATATAATAATTAATTAATAATAATTCAGTTAGTTATAAGAAAGAATCTCATATTATATTATTATCTGATCATTGTATTTTATAATTTAATTATATATAGGTTTATTTTGTACTTATTACAATTTACAAGTTTGTAACCAATACATTTTATGAAGTGTTGTTACTTGTTCAATTTTTTTTATATATTATATTTATAGTTTATAAATGGTTTAACATTTTTAGAATAGTCAAGAGATACATTTTATAAAATGTTATTAAGTGAAATCGATTAGGAAAATCTCTCATATAGTCATATTATAATTAATTAGTAAATAGTAATATGAAAGGATTTCATACTATCTTATCAAAAATTAAAATTATAATAAATACATTTTCTAAGTTGTTATGAAGTAAAATTGTTTTTGAAAAGTTTATTGTTGTACGTCTTTAATCAGTTTAATCTTTAATCTTTATAGCTTATACGTATGTAGTTATGTTACTAGTTACTATGTTTGATATCAATATTTTTTTAAATATTCTGCACCGAATAACGCCGAATATTTTGTGCCGGATCCCGAATAATATTAATTTATATAACATTCGGTATTTTTAGGTGTAGAAAACAAAATATTCGGTATTCGGTTTTTCCAATATTTCTAGTTCAGCACATCCCTAATTATCATATTTCTAAATAATTCTAAATTTTGATATATGTTTTTATTGTCTACCCTAGATATTCTAAGGGGCGACAGCTGTGATTACATCAGTGGATTTTGTCAAAGCTCGTTATCAAAATAAATCATAATTATCAAATAAATAAAAACAATTGTACTAATTATCGCATGGTTTTAATGTATTCTGTAAATTATAGCATTGTATTCTGTAGAAGTGAGTACCGTTACAATGAGTCTTACCGAACAACAAATTTCAGAATTAATTACCAATATTGAATCCGGCGATGAAAGCGATTGGTATGATAATAATGAATACGATAGCAGTTCTGATTCAGAAGTTGAAGGTAGTTTATCTAGTACTTTGAGAAAAAATATTTTTAACATTTTAAATGAAAAACAGTCTACTGCTAGCAGTACTGTGAATATTGATGGTATGCCAATAGTTTGTGAAGACAGTGTAGAAATTCCTCCAGCAATTTTACCACGCACAACTTATGATCGACATATTCCTATAATCCCTCAAAAAATATCTATTGTGGAAGTTTTTTCCTGAGAAATGAATATTTGATAAAACAGCTTTATCAAATTTTCAACCAAAGCGATTTTTATTTGATTCTTTGAATCAGGGGCGGATTGGCCCACCGGAAATTTGGGAGTTTTCCCGATGGACTGGACGTCTGCCGTTTGGACTATGGCTAGTTATTTAGCAATTAGCCATAGTCTGAACTGCTCCGATACAAAAAAAAAAAATAAAATAAAATAGGAAAATAAATAATAAAGACGGTTATCTGTGTATGGGCTGATAATTTATATTATTAGTGGTATTTTTGGCCGTAACACGTTTGGGTACAGTAGACCCTAAACGCAACACGTTTGGGTACATAGGACATAGGTATTAATATAACATTTAGAAACACCTAGAAAAATAACATTTTAATATTTAATCATTAATTTTAAATTTTTAGAGCCTATTAGCGTTATACAGGAGACACCACGAGGAGATTGGCTCTATTTAGTCTCCCAAAAATATTTTAGTATAATGTTTAATTACTTGTCATAATTTTTAAATTATTATTTATTATATTATATACTATTATACCATTATTATTTATTTATTAAGTCTTTGTATATTATATATTATTATATTATTATTATATATTTTATAATTATATAATGTTTTTACCATTTTTATAATATTGGACCAATTAGGGATAAATATTTTGCAACATCTTTATTGACTTTGTACTCCTCAAATTTGTTTAATACATATGTATTATATGTATTATACATATTATCCATGTCTTCTTTTATTTTTTTGTTTTGTACATTTCGTTTAATGCTACCTATTTTTAAGTACGATTCTTCTTGAACTTCTAATAAAATATTTATTACTGCAAAACAGTTAGGATGGCAAGTATAAAATTGACTGTTAAAATCTCTATGAAAAGCTTCAGGTCCGTTTGTTGTCCTAGGATCCATAGATGGCTCACCTGCCCAAAAATGAGGTGAGAATAAACTATTTTCATCAATAAACGTGTCTACAATATAATCCGTAAAATGTTCAACATTGGGTGGTGCATTGGCCATGAGAGATATAAAACCATCATTTACTTCATTAGAAGGTAAATAACTTAGACCGAAAAAACTTTGAAGCCACTGGTATACAACTGTTTTTCCTGCATAGTGTTTATTTAATTCTTTGTCATTTTTAATACGAAGAAACCAGGCTTGACTTAAGTGAAAACGACAACCTACCACTTGACAATTTTCGAAAACTTCCAATACTGCGTTGTGAGCAGCTTTTTCAAAGTCTAAATGTATCATTTTCAATTGCAATTGTTGTCCGTGAAATTTAAAATATAACTCTTTTATTTTCAACCAAACGCTAGTATACGATTTTTGTGTTTTGGAGTCCATAAAAACAAATATAATTGGCACATAAAATCCATTCAAATATACATGTATTGTATACATTTGAAAAAAAATATTTTGGTGCATACGAAAAAGTTCCATCAGCAAAAACATGCTTTGAACTATTTAAAAGAGACATATTAGTAGCATTTGTAAAAATAGGTACACTACTTTCCGAATCCATGAAACAAAATGGTTCATTATTTGAAACGAAATCTTTTTTATTTTTAAAAATCATAGCTTTTGCTTCGAATAAAGATTTTGGTATTTTAGGAAATATTTTTCGTCTAGCTTCGTACATACTTTTCCTGAATAACCTGACGTCAGAATGACTTAGATTCTCTGATTTGGGGCAATTGCGTAGTTATTGTCGTATAAGTTTATTTGGCTTCACGTTAAGATCAGTAGTTGCTTTGCGCTTTAAAACTGACATCACTGTTTGTTTAGTGATGGTTTCTTCAACTAATTCATCATGTCTATGTTCACCATTTATTGAAATTACCGTTTTTAAATTGGATATTAATTTAGCAGTGACAGTGCATTTACGATTCGTGCAACGAAAAACTTTAGTTGTATTTTTGTTTTCTCTAAACTCACTAAATTTATAACTGTTAATCGCAACACACTTTTTCCCACGTCGGGTTTCAAAAACATCGGAAATGTTCACGTCCATAATTACAAAGAATAAAATAATCTTGCCGTTTGAAAATCCAAATCGGAACTGAACATTGAAACATTTACTCTTAAACCATATCTTATAAAGATAGTTAATCTTTTTTTTCGTGATAACCTATTGGTCATAATATTAGTGTATATACCCAAACGTGCTATGTGTTTGTGTACTCAAACGTGTTCCAAATTTACAGGTAAAAATAATGTAATGTACCCAAACGTGCTTCGCCCGTATTTTTGTATAATAATTGTTTTCTATTTTATTGTTAATTATGATATGTTTATATATTATTTTGTAAATATGCAATATGTTCGCGTTGGCCATCGAGCAAAGCACAGCGATTATAACTTCATGCATATCACCGCACCGCGCCCAATCTTGATGGCATGATCTCACTCGAATCTCTATTCGCAGACGACGCACGTGCGTTATTTAAAAATTATATTTGTAACTTGTGAGTACTGAGTTGAGATTGACGTCAGACAACACTACAACAATATGATTGAAAGGATTCCTGCACCTAAAAGGAAAGGTGGTGCTGAAAGAAGTAGGGAAAATAAAAAGCAGCAACTTTGTGAATCGGCAAAAAAATGCAAATCAATTATTGACATTTTTTAATGCCAAAATGTAGTTACCAATAATAAGGTAGATAGGGTAGATAGTAAATTGAATATAGCAATAACTATTTGTAAAATGTATAAAACATTATAATTACCTACCTATATGAAATAAAAATATTATATAAATACATAATATAAAAGGTAATATCTAAATACCTATCAATTGGTTTATGTTTAAATTAAAATTATCATTTTTTAAGTAAAAATTGAATGTAATTAAAGACCTTGTAATTATTACTTATTTTAGACCATTCTAAAAAATGTGGAAGGTGTTGATACTAATGGTACAACTATACTTGTTAAAAAATTAATTTATAAGAACGCTTTAAAAAACTTTGAAGACAATTCTGCTTATGACTCTCCTGCAACACCTTTAGCTTCTTCCAGTCAAGTAGTAAGCTAGAGTACAATTTGTTTGCTTTTTAATATATCTAAAAATTATATTATGAGCCATTAAATTATTTATTTGTAGACAGTTAACAAATAAAGTAAATTAAGCATCTAGCAATCAAAGTAAATATCGTATAAATAAATATTAAAGTAAAGCAATATCTATCCGTTTAAAATTGTTTTTTCATAAATTCAAATTTGTCATTACATTATTTATAAATCAAAATATTAACAATGTTGTACCTAGACTTTGAATTGTATAATAGTAAGTACATACCTATTGAACTTGAATTTATTTCAACAGTTATATTAGTCAATATTACTTTAGACCAGCGGTTCTCAAACTGTGCTCCGCGGAGCCCTAGGGCTCTGCGAGAGTAGTCTAGGGGCTCCGTGGCTCCCTGAGAATATCTGTATTAATTAAATTTAAATTATTAAATTATTATTATATTTCTTAGTTAAATTTTTATTTTTATAATCAATATTATTTGGACCGTACCAATATGTATTATTTTAAACGTTTAAAACTTTAAAATATTTATAAATCCACATATGTCATATTTTGTGTCATTGTCAAAATGAGATTAGATAAAAGTCGGGTTTTTCGTTCATTTGACATGTTGTACGATAATTATTTAGTTTACTTATCTACAATAGTACAATCTACATTCTACGAAGTTCTAATAATTTCTTGATTCTTCAGTCATTACTCGTTATTCAACGGCCGCTGACGCAAATATTGTTATTTCGGTGTTTATTTCATATTACGTGTTTCCTATTTTACCATCAATTGTTTTTATTGTTAACAATTTTTTTTGTGAATAAAAATTCAAGTGGATCGTTGGCTTAACAAATCAAGAAATACAGTGGGATCATCCTCATCAGATGCAAATGAAAATATATGTATCACACCGACTAATAGTGCGAGTTTAAAAAGAGCAAATAGTCCACCTAACAAACAATCTGATACAGCGACATCTGACACTACAGTAAGTAAAAGAAGAAAATATGACGAACATTATATCTCTTTTGGTTTCATACATGAAAATAGTTATCCACAGTGCGTTGTATGTAGTAAAGTTTTTCCGAATAGTTCAATGGTGCTAGCCAAATTGCGCCGTCATCTGGAAACTAACCACACAAACGTGAAAGATAAACCTATAGATTATTTTATTCGATTGCGTGATCAACTTTTAAAGAATAAGAACTTTATAGCTGAAGTAACAAAAACGGCAAATGAAAAAGCAACAGAGGCATCTTATATGGTCAGTTATCGTATAGCTCAGGCTGGTAAAGCTCATACAATTGCCGAAAGTCTCATCAAACCTTGCGTGACTGATATTGTTAGTTGTATGTTAGATGAAAAGGCAGTCAAAAAAATAAATACTATTCCACTTTTCCAATGATACCGTTGTTGTAAGACACGTAGATATTGTGTACGTGTCCACCTTCACATAATAAATGTTAAAGAGAAATCGTCACGTTTGTATAAGGAAATGTCCTTAGAAATTAAGTACGTTTTTAAAATGTAAATACAACTATTAACACAATAACCTACTCCAATAAAATGTCGTTCCCAAAATAATAATAATTCAAGAGTGCAACATCACATTTTCATGATGCAACCCAGGGCGCGTACAAATGGCTAATTATCAAATGTAGAAATCCGATGGCCACAGGATGTACGTGACGTCCGGGACGATTTCACCAAACAACAGTGACCTAGCAGTCGCAGGACCGACATAAATACCAAAGGGCGAGAGACGAGACGGCAGTTAGATTCCACAGCTCAAGTCACCCACACATCACCATTGGAGATTCCACGGACTCTGTCCGTATGTACATTGCCTGACCGTTAAGACTTACGAGTTTATCGCTCCGAGCCCTCTGACGCATGTAGGTGTGCACAAGGAATCTCCACTCCGTACATTTTATAACTTATCTATGTGATTTCTCTTAAACTTAAATAAATATCTATTACATTTATCAACAATATTGTACGATTCATTTGAACACGAGGGTCGCAACACCGTTAGACGTAGAATTAACGATATATCAACTCACATAAAATCGGAATTAATATCTCGTCTTAAATGTAATAATTTTTCTTTACAAATGGATGAATCCACTGACGTTTCTGGATTAGCTGTATTGCTTGTATTCGTCAGGTATAAATATCAAACTTCTCTTGAAGAAGACCTCTTATTATGTCAACCTTTGTCCACTTATACAACTGGTTATGAAATCTTCAATATGTTGAACAATTTTTTCGAATTAGAAGGATTGACTTGGGATAATTGTATTGATATTTGTACAGATGGAGCGAAGGCAATGGTTGGAAAAACTGCTGGCGTGGTTTCGCGAATTAATGAAGTAACAAACAACTGTAGTAATAGTCATTGCATTCTTCATCGTCAAGCACTTGCTATTAAAAAGATGCCAATACCTCTTAAAAATGTACTTGATGAGGGAGTGAAGATTATAAATTTCGTAAAATCTCGACTATTGAGCACAAGACTGTTCACAATTTTGTGTGAAGATATGGGAAGTATGCACAAATCACTACTTTACCATACCGAAGTAAGATGGCTTTCTCAGGGAAAAACACTTGTACGCTTACTCGAATTGCGCAATGAATTGTACGTTTTTTTCACCGATCACCCATTTAATTTACAGCTCAGACTTACTGATAAAATTTGGTTATTTCGACTTAGTTACTTGGCTGATATTTTCACAAAATTAAATGAAGTGAACTTATCAATACAAGGTAAAATGACCACCGTTTTCTCGATAAATGACAAAATTCGAGCTTTAAAAAAAAAAATTAAATTTTGGGCTGTGTGTTTTTCTCAACATAAAATTGATAGTTTTCCTTTGTTAAAGGAATATTTAGAATCGATTGATGGTAATATTGAAGATTTTGATGAAATATATGGCGAAATTAAACAACATTTAAATTAAATACTATCATCATTAGAAAAATATTTTCCAGAAAGTAAAGATATAGAATTTATCCAACGATATAATTGGGTTAAAAATCCGTTTTTAATCAACGATAAGCCCGAAGATTTATCTATAACGGAGTATGAAGAATTTATTGAAATGACCACCGATTCATCTATAAAAACTTTATTTGATAAAATATCATTAACAGATTTTTGGTGCAGTAGCAGTATTATTAACGAATATCAATCTCTGGCTAAAAAAGCTATCTTAGCACTTCTTCCTTT